GGACAAAATTTTAATTCAACAAAGCCACTTGATAGCTTGTTACTTACCGATTATAAGCAATTAATTGCTGTCACTTAAGTTATATAAAACGGAAACAAAAGTGAAATCGAATTTGAGAGTAGGAGCATGAAAGCGGCATAATTAAATTATGAGTAGTGAGAATTTTAGCAAGAGCGTGCTCGGAGCGTGAGAGTGGGAGCGCGCTCGGAACGTGAGAGCGACACCTATTAAAAAGAATTGTGTAACTTAGGTTGTCAAAATATAGGCAAGTAACGGGAGCTAATTCGAAAGTGAAAGAATTTAAGTCATGCAAAGTGAAAACAAGAACGAGGACGTCAATTTGGAAGAATTTCCTTCGATCCCCCAAAAACATTATCGGATCGAGCAAGGCTTAGACTCTCTCTCGCAACCAAATCTTCAAACCTACATAGCTATACTCTCTCACCAAAGAGAGGCACCCCTTCTCCATAGCAGCGAATTAGTCCTCAGGTTACTTATGTTCAATGTGTTAAATAAGGTGGCAAATCAAGTGTGAAAGTGGCGTCCGTTGAAAAGAATTGTATGACTTAGGTAACAATCGATGTTTATTTTTCTATTTTGAGATACCAGACAATAATTGTTCAAGGTAAGATTTTGGGTATTTCTAAAATTATCCTTTAAAGTTTTGAAAATGATGTTACTCCGTTTCAAAATAAGTCTCTTTTTTGGAAATCTAATTTTTTAAGAAAATAATTATTATTATTATTTTTTATTGTATTAGTAGTGAATAAATTATCAAATTATTAGTAGTGGGTTTACAGTGATGTGATGTTTATTTTTTATAAGTTCAATATAAGAAAGTTAAATTGGTAACAAAAACAAAAAAAAAAATTTACATTAACTTTTCAAATGAGCTTATTTAGAGAAGGATAAAAAAAATTAAAATAATTTCTTAATTAGCAAGGAGTTAGTTTTGGAATTTCAAATGGTGGGTTTTCACAAGGCATGGGAGGGAGTATATACGGACACAGACGCTTTTAATGGCAAGTCTGCATTCGCTTTTAATGCTTGAAAGTGGACTGTCATGTGTTTTTGTTGGTTTATCAGACTATGCTAATTGGAATTCCACTAGCCAATTAATGGAATAATATATGTCCTCAAAGAGGAGGGGTTGGAGCTCAAACTTGAGCAAAAAAATGTGCGAGTGATTTTTTGGATGATGTTAAAAATAAAATTAAAAAAATGTCATTTATATTCCTCTCAGATGGAAGGTTTATATTCATTCATTTGTTAGGAGAAGAAAGAAAATAAATTGATAGTATTGAAACTTAATTGCAGTATAAATTAAGTTTTCAAAAGCGCCTAATCGAGACCAAAACAAAATTTCTAATCTGATCAGCCTCATTTATATTCATATGGTCGATGTGATATGATGAAATTGTATTAAAAACTTTTCAGACGTGTATGATATATGTTCGTGATGAGTATCAACTTGTCAATAATAATAATAAAAGAATGGGTAAGATGAAAAAAAAAAAAAAAAACATGTACAAAAAACATTCTCGTTTTTTAGGGGTGTACAAAAAAACCGAGGAACTAGAACTATATATATAATTGTATATTGTCAATATAGTAATTAATAAGTATAGTACCATACTGTCAAGTCAAGTGGAAAAAATAGAGGGAATGCAATTTACCCTAACAATCCACATCTAAAATATATTTTGGTATTTATATTATATTAAATCAAGTATAATATTTTCTTTATCTATTTTTTTTTCATTTTTTAATAGTCCAAATCCTGCCATAATATGATGATATACGAAAATATTATTTTTGTGTAATGTTTTTTGGTATCTACGAAGTTTTATTAAGACTATAATACCAACATATTAAACTCATGCTAATGATAATATCTTGTTTGCTCATGGAGGCTTATCTTCTGCCAACATCCTTAAAAGAGATTTGCACATCTTGAAGTCAGTAACAATGAAGCACGGTTCATCTTCCTCCGTCAATGATTCTGTAAAATTAAATCGGAACCGAACCGTGAATGCCGATTTGGTTCGGTTCGATTCCATATACACACAATTCTGGTTCCTATCCCATTTTTAGGGAACCGTTGTGACTGGTTCCGGTTCTTGGCAGAACCGTACCGAACTGAACCGTGTGCACCCCTATCATTTTTAAGTATTTTTTTAATAAATAAAAATTATTAAAATTTAAATTTTAATAAATAAATAATAAAATAAAATAAAAATAATTGTGATTTTTATAAAATTTTAAATATTTTTTATTTTTATTATTTTCTTTTTATCTTAAATATATTTTAGATATTTGAGTCTCTAAATTAAAGAGTTATTCTTACTTGCTCAATCTAAAAAATGTATATAATAAGAAATTTTTACATATTGTATATAACAAGAAATTTTTGCACTTTATCTTAAAAGAATAAATAGAACATCGAGGAAAAAAAAAAAAAATAGAATATTGCAATGATAATTAGTGAAACAAACCTTTTGAGATCTGCCTAGTTTGAGGCGGCCTCATGAGTCATGACACTTGTCACACAATAGAGTGGTGCTAGTACGAGGAGGTCTCTCGAGTCGATCATGACACTTGTCACGTGATTATTATGTACCATAATTATAAAATTAAAGTTTTGTATAACAAATTATACAGATCAGTTAAAATTTCATACTCTTTCTTTTGACTTTATTTGACCAATTTATATTCCTAACTTTGATAATTTCATATAATTTTATTTCATATATAATATTTTGAACTGATATGAGGTGGACATCATGATAGCACTATCCTATTATTTTTGTTTTAGCACATACATAGTTAGAAATAAATAGGTTTATAATATATACACAAATGTATAATTTAAAAAATGTTCGGTTAAAGTTTTTAACTTAACTAATAGTCCTCAATTTTTTTATTTGAAGTGTTTGGAACACATAATAAACATTCCATGTATTACAAAATAATAATAATAATAATAATAATAATTCACTTACATATATATATTCTTAAGAGTTACACTGCCTTTAATCTTTTTATTAAAAATTAAATAAATCAAAATGCGTGGAATTCTAGCTAATTAACCTTGCAATTTCATTTATCCAATCAATTGAAAATTTAATAGTTATAAATATATTAATGTAGCTCGGATAAAAATCCGCTACAGTGCGCCTCTCACTGTTAGTGAGGATCCAACGACTGAGATCAAATCCACCTCAGCTCCCTTGCCATGTCAACTCTGTCCTACTCAACTACATCTCAGCATCTAGTCAGCAAGTTAGTGAACAAAGTTATTGATGTACTATTTATTTTATCACATGTACAAATACTCATACAATATAAACTTATACATTATACATTATACAATATATCATGCATCTACAATATTATTTTATTCCATTATAATTGACCTTTACCTTTTCAGTAAAATTTGAAATCCAATTAACTTCTTCGTCTCCTCGGCTTCGATTGTTTTTCTTCCTTCTAATCTGGTGTACTTAATTTGCTGTGGTTATTGCCGATAGGTGAAAGCTGTCTTCTGTTCGATATATTGTTTGCTCTGGTTCTTTTTGTTTCTTTCTTCTTATTCCATATACTCCGTACTAATTGTTGAAATAAATAATACAAGATATATTAAGTATAAAAAATTATAAACAAATAATATTTTATTGGTAAATCTTAGCAAATAACATGCAACGTTATAACCTTTAACTAAAAAAAAAAAAAAAACATGCAACGTTATAAATGTTCTATATTAGTTTTGCAAATTCATCACTCTTTTTAGTTTCATTTAATATTGCAATATTATTGATAAAAATAATAAAATAGTATAAAAATAATTATTACTTAGAAAAATTATATATAATTGCTACCGTATTTTTTCACCACGAACTTTTATTAACATTCATATTACATCCGTATTCATATATATATATTTATGCGCTTATTTTTATAATTTATGTTTTTTTATGCCAAATTTTTATACGTAATTTTTTTTAATAGTATTTTACTACACACATGAATATACTAAGGTTCCGTTTATTTCGACGTAACATGTAAAATATTTTCTTTTATTTTTATTTTTCGGTATTTGGCAAAGGTCTAAGTTGAGTCCATCGGGTGAGACGTGTAAAAAAACTTATCAAAAATTGATGAATAAATTATTTTTGTTAAGTTTTAATATCTTTTTCTTTGTAAATATTTTACAACAACCAAAACACCAAAAAAAATAAAAAATATTTTATACTCAAACAAGCGAAGCCTAAATGATGGTCATATTTCATTTTAGCGATGTTTGTTTCGACGTAAAATATTTTCTTCGAAAAAGATTTTTTTTTTCCATGTAAAATATTTTTTTATATATTTTTGTATTTTCGATATTTGGCAAAGATGTAGGTCGAGATTGAGACCGAGCCAATCGAATGGGACGTGTAAAATAAATTACCTAAAATTGATAGGTAAATTTTTTTTGTTAGATTGTACTATAACTTTTTTTTTCATAAATATTTTATGATAATTAAACACCAAGAAAATAAAATTTATTTTTTAAAAAATATTTTACATACAAATAAAGGGTACCATCATTTTTATTTTTTATTTTTTGATAAGGTACTATTTCATTTCTTTGTTTAATCGGATGATGATAAGGTATTTCATTTCAATATATGAGACGATGCAAAAACCGTGTAAACCGAGTAACCATTGCAAAGTGCTTCCATCCATCTCCATCTAACCATTGCAGAACAATTCAATCCGCTTTATTCATATCAAATCAAGTATACAAGAACAAACTCCACATAAGTACATAAATAATAGTAGTAGTATCTCATAGTGCATAAAAAATTTTAAAAATGAAGAATCAAGAACTAGGGTTTGTTGATCACGTAAATATTACAGGACTAACAATAAACTTTTCGATCAAGTGAAATATTTAGTGACTTACTAAGTGCGAATATGATCATATGGCCTCACATGAATATGTCTATTGGTATATTTCATTCACATTTCCGTGAAAAATCACCCCAGGGGATAGCTCCTCCTCCATCTCGAGTCGATGTGATCCCCATTTGTAACCATGTAGAATAGTCTACTTTACCATGCACATCATGCAATGATGTTTTAAGCGTGTTGGTGGTGGCGTATTGGTGGTGATTTCGAGTGTTGTCGATGCCCTCATTTGCCCTTGGTGGTAGAAAAATTCTCGTGGGAGCTTCAAAATTCAATGAGTTATCGTTGTTTGGGCGTGCTTCGGTTGTGTCATCGAGCAATGCCGGGAGGTTGAGATCAAGTGGTTCGGATCTTTTGAACATGGGTTTCTTATGTAGTTGTTGGCTATCATATTGGAATTGATCATGAAAGTTAGGTATTGAAGAAGTGTCTGGCGGCAAATTAGAGTTGAGCCAATGACACCTCTTGTGCCCGCCCAAGGCTTGTCCTGATGAGAACACACGGTGACATATTGAACATTCATGAACCTTAGACTTCTTTCTTGGGTAAGTCTGATGATGATCAAATGGAGCATGCAATGTGTGATTGAGATCGAACGGTGGAGATGAACCGGATTGAGTAGGGGTTGTGATCACATCCTCCTCAACCCTATCATCTTCCAGGTTATGATCGAATCTTGCAGCGAAACAACCTTTCACCTTCTTGTGACTAGCTCTATGACCTCCCAATGCTTGGTGTGAACTGAAGACCTTCTTACAAGCTTTGCATTGGAACATCCCTTTCACTACCTCCTTACCCTTGTCCTCCTCCTCTTTACCACCCAAAGCCAAAGAATTTCTGATCGCGTCCTCAGACATTGGATCCAGCTTTCCATTCGATAACATGACCAAGCAATTAGCGAGGTCTTCTTCTTCTTCGCTTGAAGAAGAACCATTTTCATCATTGTTCCCCATTTTGGTTGAACCTCTGAACCGCTTTCCTTCAATCCCATTGCACTCCTTCCTTCTTCTCCCATCTCCAACGTCCGGCCCGGCCAATGACATGGATGTCACCCTCTCCTCATTTTGATCAAAATTGAAAGAATTCAATGTCAAGAACTTCTTACCACAATTCTCTCGCGCCGGGTAACCACCCACGAACCGATTCGCGGTTGTTCGTAGATAGTAGGTTCTCTTGTTGCCTCCGGGCTTGTCCTGGACATTGCCCATGGGATGTTGTTGATCACCCATGCAGCCATTCACATCTCCCAAACTATGGGCTCTCATGTGCCCCCCTAAAGCTCCACCACACCTAAAACCCTTCTTGCAAATTTTACAAGCATGCATCACGCTTGCTCCTTTTAGATCAACATTCTCCACCATTGCCATATACATATATATATATATATATATATAATCAAGAGAGAGAAAGAAGAGAGAGGAGAGAGAGAGAGAGAGGTTTTTAAGTAGTAAAGAAAAACATGGGGTGGGGGTTGTACTACGTAGTAGATGTTGTCCAAGAGAGGACAAAGGTATGCTTATATTTATAGTAGGTGTTAGTGGTAAGTTATCTTTTTGATTTTTAATTTTATTTTGTTTTTGCAATGTTAGTCCTTTTGTTGTACAAAGTGAGGAAGCCCTAGTTTTTAGTTGGAGTGTTAGTTGGTTGTGGATGAGAGAGAGATCTAGAGAGAGAAAGAGGTAGTATTGATACTGAGTGTGTGTGTGTGACAAGTGGAAGGTGTGTTTTTTTTAAGTGGTGGAGAGACTATTTCTGCGACTTGTGGTGGTACCGCCGCCGGTCAACTTCACCGACACACCACCGTACAGAAGCCCCCCGCAGTTGCATCGAGTCGGGTTGGTACGGAACTTCCGGACTAGGCATTACCCAGACCCGAAATTATATAGAAGGAAACTGTCAACCTTTAGCTATTTAAATTCCTAGCCAAAGAAGATGCCACTTCACTCCATTATCCATTGATTTTTTAATTTATTTTTTAATTTTTTTGCATTTCCACAAATTTTACGTACTAGATTTGGATAAGAGCAGTGGGAGTGTTTGGTGTAGTTTTCTGACAACTGTTAAGTGTTTTCAGAAAATTGAATAAAAACTTATTTGGGACTGTCAGTTTTCTAAGAAATCAAATTTAAAAATACTGTTTAATTATCTTTCATATATAATTATCTCAAACAGACTCTTTGTTTCTTATTTATTAATTATTCTTCTCAAATTTGGATAAGTACGTAAAGAGTAATTACAAAAAATTAAGGAATAAGATCGATAAATATCGTTCCTTATGGACTCAATCCTCTCAACTACACTCTCCAGTGGATTATAGTTTAAATGTATTTTAAATAAACATGTTAAATCTTCAATAAATATGTAACACTTTGCACTCATGCAACAAGTTACAATATTATAACACTATGACATAGAGGAGGATATACCTCATTTACACTTTTTTTTTTTTTTTTCCCGGCAATTTATTATTTTAAAACATTTTTTTTTTTTTTTGCTTTTATAATTTTAAAACTGATTAGCGAAGAACATGCCACATTAGTTGAATCCTTCCCTAAACATTTTACTCCGTACTTAATTTATACAAACTGACTTATAATTCAACTAATGCGGTGTGTACGTGAAGTACGGAAGAGAAAAAGGACAAGAAATTTTCTTTTCCTTGAGGATAGCATAATAAGTCTACACATGTTTAGGTCGACAAAGATAATCCAAATATGTCTCGGATCTTGTCTCTCTTTGTTTTTTTTTTTTTTTTTTGGTAAGTACAAGCTAGTTTTATTTACATTTATTTTTTCATCTTAAAGAAATATATAAATATATAATAAAAAGATATAATTCAAACTCAAGATACACCTAAACATGTCTAATTTTTAACTTCATTCAGTATTTATTCAGTAGATGCTGTATAATTATTTATTATTTATTTTTGTGGCTTGATGTTCAAATTTAGTTACTGATTTTACATATTTTTAGTAATAAAAATTTTCTTACGATAAATAAGTGTAACACACAACCATTTAACTACGCTTGATACTTAAACTTTTGATCTCCTCTCCATGATTTGTTCATAAGCATTCAAGTGTAATTTAAAAATAAAAAAAACATTTTTTTTTCGATAAATATAAAGAAACTATTTTATTTTGAATTTGAAGAAGAATTTGTAATAGATGAAGTAACTCTCTCCACTATCTCTAAGAATCTACCTTACTTCCATTAACGATTCCTTGCATTAATATTGTATCAGTTTGTACACGTACCATCGTCAACTTGGTTTCCTCCAATTTACTAAAGAGAGGATTGAACTCCACGTATTCATCATCTCGATCTCTCTTTCATTTCATATGATTTGAAATTAAACATTTTGGTTCAATTTTTTAAAAACAATTTTTAAAAAATTTACATAAAACGTACTGTTCATTGATAACAAATCTCTTTTTTATTATGTTGTGTGTTCAAGAAACAATATTTAGAAAAGTGTCAAGGAAACCAAATTTACACATTTGCTTTTTTTGGGAAAAAGTGAACCAAGAAGATCTAGATCCTATGTGCAGATCAATGTTTATATTTATAACATTTCAACAACAATCATCTTAAGCTTCACACTCTGGTATAAAATTTGTAAGGAGAAAACACATTGAAATTAATTGTTTCAATTCTGATATAATGAAATGGATATCATTGACACAGAAAAATATTGCAATCCCGACTTGTGTGACCGATCAAATTCTTTGAATTTATGGATATTTTAAGCATGATGTGCTTAAAAACAAATTATGAACAAATGCATTGTTAGCATTCCTTCGTCATCGGAATAACGTAAGCCTAGTTCTGGACAGAGGAATACTGGTTAACACCATTTTTGGGCACCCTGCTGGTTGCTCAAAATGAAAGGAAACCAAGCCTCAAGTGATCCTTTTGGATGAAACCCATTTAATGAAATGGGTTTAATCGTACAAGAGAAGATAGGTCAACATTGGTAATTGATAATGGGCTTAGAAAGGCTTGTTAGTTTTCTCAAGACCCAATTTCTTGCCGCATCCTCCGCTTATTGTGATAATGACAAGTCCTGTTATTCATTTGACAGTCCGGCAACCTACTACTCACAGAGGTATGTGTGGATCCCACCATATGGGGTGTCAGTGGCACACAAGAAGGTACAGCTTGCACAAAAGAAGAAGGTTTACAGTGAAGCAATGAGCCTGAGAACACAGAAGGCTAAGAAACACAACTTAAATTAAATCTGGATAATTTATTTCAGTGCACTATGACTTCTTTAATTTCTTCCTAATGTCATGCAAAAACAATGACATGTTGGTCTGGTGGCATGAGATTGACTCTAAGACATCTAGACCAAAAAAATCTGTATTTGAACTTAGCTGAGGAACCATTCAATACACAGCCCTAACAAATAAATAAATAATGTACAAATGGTGGCCTTTTTCTGCCTATTATTTTCTAATATACACCATTAACATCCCAAGTCCCAACATTTTATAGGTACTTTTCCATTAATTTAACTTCTGCATTTTGAAAGATCCTTCATGTCATCTCAGATTTCATTTTTAGCATATGCTCTAGTTCAAGTTGTGTACTGCTATCAGCTGCTCAGCCTCTTTCCATCTCAGACTGGTTAGCCGATGGATACTTAATGCTATTGAAACAAGCTAACCATGGTAAATATTCCACGGTCGGTTGATTTTTCACTAATTAACACTACCTCATTTGAAAATTTCAACATAAATGCTACTCAGATGGTGTCGAGTGTTTTAAACCATCCTAAGTAGAGGAGATGATTGAGAAAAAATAATGGAGAGAATCCTGATCTATTTGAAAATGGTCCAATCTGGGGTGGATTAGGATGCAAGGGGGGCCACCCCCTAAAAATATATATATATATATATATATATAGGTAATTTTAGTCTAGCCAAAAGAATTAAATAATAGTAGTACTAACCCACCCCAGAATATATTTCAGGGTCGCCACTGGGTCCAACTATATTTTTATTGATTCTACACCAATTCTAGGCAGACTACATACTTGTCCAATCCAAAAGGCAATTAATTCGTTGGTCAAAAACCCCAAATGAATTCGAAACAACTAAATGACTAATTAAGCACAATGTTGTATAACAAACTGGGACTCATGACCTAATTAAAAAATTCTAATTAGCAAGCTTTTCAGCAGAGACCTTCATGCATCAGTAGGCAATCTGTTAGGTATATAGTTGGATGACTAAGTATGAACAATCAAGATTTAAGCTATATAACAACACATAAATTGTCTAACGTACTCATCTACAATTCTTCCTTCCCAAGCAAACTATTTACAATTTAAATCTACTTCGCTCCATTAGACCGTTCATGTTTCATTTTCGTAAATTATATTGAATCATGAAAATGCATAATTTATATATCTGGGCTAGAACAAGCCATAGCAAGAATTCAACCATGAATACCATCTTTGCATTTTCTATCCAAGTCCTAATGACTTACAAATTCACACCAACTAAAAATTTAAGACAAGAGAGGCGTCTCTGTATCGTACTCACTTTTCAAGGTGTCTCCATCCTTGATGGAGAGAGATTCTCTCCCTTTAGCCCATAGCACGAAGTAGAGACCGGTAAACATGAGAAGCATACCAGCAAGGCTGCATTAATAAACCAACTCATAAGAATTTGCAAAATTTGTGTGTGTGTGTGTGGGTACTTTTTGTTTGTATAGCTACAAATTAAGCTGAGCAACTGATCCAGAGTACTTATACAACACTGATTGGTAGGAAGACCAATTAATGTACCTTCCCAGAGTAATGGAGTCTCCCATGGTTATGACAGAGAGGATCACTGAGATGACAGTTGCAACGGGACCAAACATGGACACCAGCACCGGTCCTCTTTTCTTTATTGCCCATCCATTGAAGCTCACACAAGCCCCGTTAATTGTTCCCCCCTGTGCACCAAAAGTTAAAGATCATACACGTTGATCACTTGTCGCGAATTAATATGAATATTAAAGACTACTGTGTCTTCAATGAATGTAGTACGAACAAAATGACAGCGACACATAAAAAAAAAAAAAAAAAAAGGAGTGCTGGTAGGATAAGACTCCAGACAAACTTCATTTTTGACATTATAAATGACAGTGACATATATAGATGAAAATTAATTTGTTGCTTAACCTGTCCACAGACACATTCATAGACAAAATTTATAATTGAAAACAGAGGAAGGTGATTTTACCAGTAAAGAATAGCCAATGAGGTGTCCAAAACTCATTGCTGGCCACCCAGTTTCCAATTTGTGTTCTTGAATCAGCTGTAGAACTGCAGTAGTTATCGCACCTATTAACGATGTTATTGCACACATGGACACTGGTGCTGGAAAATCAACCAATGCCGTGGCCTGCAAAACACCATAATTGAAAAAGAGTACACTTAAAAGACAAGTATTTGATTAGAACATTCGAAACCATCTCCATTTCCTCAATTTTCACTACCTACCTGCAACACAATATTGCTCGATAAAACAAATACTGCTGCCATGAGATACACGCAGCCAATAATCTTCTGTTTATCAAATTTGCTATCATCAGTCAAAAGAGTTAATAGTTGAACTTCTTTTTCCGTGGGAGTGTCTATGGTACTGTGCATGAGGCTCATTGTAATAGCACCGATGACACATAACAATGTTCCTACAATTTTGATTTGGCTGTACATGCAACTTAGTTTTACTTTCTCTAACCTGCACAAAAAAGGACGCAGATTATACCGTTGGGAAAAGAAAATGAGGAATAAATTGAATTTTAATTCAGTAGGTGATTAAGATTTTGGAATATTGTATCACTGGGACATCTTGAGCTAACAAAGTTGAATTTGAAGAATGCCTAAAATTTTGAATAATTCACCTTATTTTTTCTAATTAACCAGTGTGAATGAAGTACCAATTGAAGCAGAGCTTTTTTACTTGATTAAAAGTTCCAAATTTACTTTTCTTCATTATCTGGTATTTTCTTGATAACCAGAGTGTTGATAGAAAGTAGAAATCGGTACCTAAAAACCCAAGCGATGACAAAGATGAGTCCTGGAGCAAGGTTTGGCATAGCTGTTGCCACTGCTGGTGAAGTTAGCTTGATCCCTTGTAGGAAAAAAGATTGAAATAATGTTATCCTGAAAAGAAAACACCATCAAGTAAATTGTTAGCCTATTGATGCTTGACTAGTCTTTTTCCATTACTACACATTTGAGTGCAATGAGAATTCTGAATCATACAGTCTTACAGAATTGGAAGTTCATACAGAAAATGAAAGAATCTACAATATGAATCCTTAATTTCTCTTGCAAATCAAGGAACCCTCTTATGTCTTTATCATTGGCACTTATGTAGATAAGGAACAAGGTAATGAAATCACTGTCTGTTCTTTTTTGGGGGTAAAGAAATGAAATCACTGTTGTGCAAACTAAACATGTTATGGCCCTATGGGGGCTAAATAAGATCAATACTAATATTGTTTCTGTTCTAAATTATAATACATAGAGCGATGATACATGGGCCGACTATCCAACAACAACTGTGAGAGGGATGTGGACCCCACAACCCCTTTTCTCAAAAGTCGGGTCTTTTAGGATTTTTCCCATGATATATTGATGATACATTGATTTCCTATTTTTTTTTTTTTTAAAGTAGATCCTTCTCAAGCTGCCGAGACTCATCAACAGGCTTCCAAGAATCAAGAATGCCCAAACATAATATTGGAACTACTTAAGAGTTCCATTACATTGAAATGTGCCTTAACAAAGAGAAAACAGCAAATGTTCGTGGCTATTGTTTGGTATAAGAGCAGTGTTTTTTTTTTTTTTTTACAAATAGTACTATATAAGTTTTGGTTTTTTACATTGACAAAAAACGCACTCACACTCCACGTGCATACACTTTTTTCCCCCACCCGGGATCGAACTACACAGCCTTTGGTGTACTACCATAAGTTAGGCGTCCACAATTAGCGGGGACTACACTCTGGTTATCACCCTTTCATGTCACATATTTCAATACTATAATCTAATCTAAACTTGAAAGTGAGAATGGACAAGGTACAAATAATGGCTAAAAATCCAGTTTAAGAAGGAAATTGATTCTAGTATATGATAAATGATTCACTACATTATATTCGGAAACATGAAATTGGAATCGAAAAATAATTAGTCCAAATAAAAACCAATTTTTTTTTTTTTTTTCCATTTTCAATTTGAGACATCAATTTCATGCTTACCGAACATAGACATTTGTGTTCTGTTGTGAAATTTACCTAGCCCCTTCCTCCTAAGACTTTGTTTTGGTTTTAGTCAACAGTAATTGAAATGAAAAGAGCTAAGAAATGGGGAGGGAAAGAGAATGAAACAGGGGAATTTACTAAAGAGACCATCTAACCTGTTTTCCTCAGAGATGTTCTTTACTGCTTTGCAAGGAAAATTGAACTTCTTCAAAATTATAAAAGAAATTGTCCTTTCTTTTGTTACTCTTCATCACAACAGTTCAGAAATTTACAGCGTTATAAAATATAAATATTTTGTTTTAACCATCAAAAAAGCTTGGCACGTGATGAAAGTGCAGGGCATGGGGCAAATGGAAAAGTTAGTTGGCTACCAAACTATATTTGCCTTGGTCTGTAACCAATTTCATTCATGTTGCAGAAAAGGAAGAAATTCTGGTGGCTATACTAAGTAACTGATTTTTACCAAGCCACATTAATAACTGATAAAAATTTAATTGTTGAATTAAATTTTCTCCGATTCTAAATCTAGAGTACTTCTTCAAACTTCCAAACATAACATTACTTAAAAAGACATTACTATTTTGTTCTAACTTCAATTTTAAATGAATAAGGGTTACAAATTATGGAATGCAAAAGATTAACTGAATATGACAATATATATATATATATAGGTGTTTGTAACATTTTTTTTTCCTCACATATATTTAACATCACAAGAGTAGTTCCTTTTGGACCCACTTTCTACATTAAAAGACAAGCTTTTAACATCAAACTTAGATCAAACATTTTGTTGTTAACTTTTCACCTTTTTTTTTTTATCTTTTACCAAATATGATAAAAATTAAAGTTTCCAATTTCTGTAACTAGCTATTTTAATCTCATCTAAAGCTAATATAATCTTTTTTTTTTTTACAAGATGATATTGTACATGTATTATCTTTTGCGCTGATCAAAATGCAATTGATAATTTAAAGGAGATGAAGCACATGTCAAGAATTATGAAATTGATCTCACAATAGAGACTTAAACTAAAGAAAAATAAATAGAAATAATACATTTAATTGAATGAAGTGGAAGTTCATAAATTGAAAGAAGTGCAAAAATTGCTTACCCTCCAAAAGAAATTAAAAGCAGTTGAATCAACAACTTTAAGCTAAATTTCTTGGGCCATTTAGTCCTGCAAACATAAACAGATCGAACTAATCAACATACGTATCTTCCAAGCAATAATATATATATGTGTGTGTGTGTGTGTGTGTGTGTGTGTGTGTGTACCTTTCAAAACGAATACAGAGAGGAGAGAGAACAAGAAAGGTGGAAAAGGCAGAGAAAATGATGAGAGTGAAAGAATTGAGGCCCAAGGACATGAGATAACTGAGTAACAATGAATTTCCTGCATATATCATTTGCACCACTATCAATCCTCCTATTATTGTGAAATCTTCAATCACCTCTCTCTTTGGGGTTTCCATCTTTAATTTCTATCTATTCCTCTAATTAACTGAGGTTTTTCAAAGACGACGATGATAATATACTCTCTCTCTCTCTCTCTCTCTCTCTCTCTCTCTCTCTCTCTGGTGGTTGTTTTGGTTATGTTCTGGTTAGTCCATAGGACTCTCTCTCTTTCTCTCTCTCTATCTCTCTCTATCTCTGAGTTTGAATGTGTATCTGTGCGTCTCTTTTACTTTAACTCAACTAACATTCAAATGGTAACGTACGCCTGTTTTTCTCTCTCTCTACCAGTCTTTCTTCATGTCATACACAAGGAATTACTAACCCTTCGACATTCTTAAAGTTAGATAAAAAAAAAAATGTGGACATTTTGTTACTAATGTCTCTTCCTTAATTTCCTTGTCTATCCAAGTTTCAACATTTTTTCAGTCATTGTTTTTACCGGAAAACAAACACATTTTTTAGTCGCTATTTTTTTAAAATGGAGACTTGAGCGGATGCTTTTATGTCACTAAGACAGTAAATGTGTTGCCCTTTTTGGTGGCACACGTGTCATCCTCTTCTGTCTTTTAAGGGAAAAAAATAATAGTAATAATTTTTTTTTTTTTTTTTTTTTTTTTTTTTTTTTTACTGTGGTCATTTTACTCGTGAAAAATGAAGGCAAATTTTTTGGTAGATATAGGTAAGGATATTTATCTCATTCCGTATATTTAAAATCGAACCCAAAAAAGTACTAAAAAATGACAAATTTAAAACACGATATTCTTACTATTGCAAGATCTAAAGAAGATTATATATACACTTTACATGTAATAAGTCTATTTCTGTATTTTAAACCCATAACCTTCAAATTATAATACATCAATTATATTACATGCACCAAACCGAAAAAAAAAAACTAATTAGAAAAGGTAATTGGGGGTCGAAAAAGCCTCCTAAATATATCCCAAATGACATCTAACCCAAATACCATAAATATAATCTTTCTGAGAGGTTTAAGTCCCAATTTAAACATAAAAGTGTGTGGGTAAAATTTTGTTTTGCTAATATTAAATACTACGTAAATAAATATGGAAGGGGCAAAAAGCTCCGGAGTCACCATCCAATCCCCACGTTTTCTGGTGTGGAACCCACACAAATAACTGCGGTTTCCGCCATTCTATCGCTGCTCTGCTGGTTGGTCTCGGCCCGCACACCCTGATTTCACTTCACACCTTCTAGAGCAAATTGTTTTATATTTGTTGGGCCAATGAAAATGTGGACTCTTAAGCTCTTCAGTCATGTTTTTATCACGTTGGGCTAGGACCCTAGGACCACATGATTCAAGTGCTGACACGTTATTTCTTGTTTTTTTGTTTTATTGTTTTTCCCATTGGTGTTTATAATACTTTGTAAACATAAATCAACCAAAATTTATTTTTCCCTCCTTATGTGGAGTGTAATTGAACAAACGCACCAATCTCCAAAGAGTTTGTGTCTGTTTTTATTTTTGAGCTACCTCTACTTAGAATCAAACTCACAGATTGATTTTGATCCATCAAGATTCCACCAATTATAATCCAACTAGCTACCGTCCATTTTATACACAAATAAATTGTTTAACTGTTATAAATTAAAACCTACCAACTTCTAGGAATATGTCTCATCATATAACAAGCCAGCCATAAAAGAACCAAAACTCAATATTCCCCAAGTGCAAACCAAAATTCTCGACTGTGTCATCTTCGTCCGTATCTAATAACTATATATTTTGTGTCTAATGCAACAATTTTACGTGTTCAATATTTTTAATCTAATGCAACAACTATATGTTGTGTTGCATACCTATTTTTTTTTTTACATTACATTACATAATTATTGTAATGTAATTATGTCTTTAAATCCCTTAAAAAGAAGGCATGGTTTGCGGAACTCATACTTTTACATATTTATTTATCCTTCTTTAAGAATGGTACTTTTGGATATATATATTATATTCTCTCCTGAGTCTCCTCCGGTATGGTACTTTTGTATATATGTATATATATATATATATATGTATATTATATTCTCTCCTGAGTCTCCTCAGTATGAATTTTAATTTATTTAATGTTAAATATAATAGTATTCATTACTTTAGTTAAAAATATTATTACCATGTTTTTTTTAATAAGAACACTGACTTAGCATTTATAAAAAGGTCACTCATAGTGTTAAATATCTTAAAGATTTAAAAAAAATTACTAAAACTCACTTAACATTCATTTTAATTGAATTGTGTTATACAGTTATTTATGACATTGGGCCGGTCCAACTCAACTCGATTTTGAATTGAGGTCGGTTTGGAACCAGGTTGAGTTGGACCTGCGCAACTTGTAGCCCTAACAATAGTAAGGTATTCATAAATTTTTTGACTTGTGTACCAAAAAAAAAAAAAAAAAGCGTTCACTTTTGCAATAACCAATTTTATTATGAATCTGAGGTGAAATGTATTTTTGGAACTTTGACATTATACATGACATATAACATGTCAATATAATGTCATAATGTTAGGTTTGCAAAAGCTATGCCAAGATCCCTCCTCAAGGGTGTGAACAAGTACCTACAAAACCAAAAGCAGCCTCAACATCTCCTGACTAAATACATTAGCACAATTACTGAAATTCCCAATAGAAATGACTTTCAATTATGGACCAGTCTCATTTCAATCCTTGCCCAAGATGACCCAAACTCTAAGACGGCCTTGTTTGAGGCCTCTCAAATGCTCAACTCTGGTACAAAACCAAATGACTATGCTCTGGTCCACCTGATCAGAGCATGTACCAACCTGGGTCGGTATTCTTATGGCCAACAGCTTCACTGCTACGTTCTGCGATCTGGGTTTGGTTCCAATGTCTTTGTCTCCACAGCCCTGATCAGTTTGTACCTGAAAGACGAGTCATTAAATGATGCCCACAAAATGTTTGTTGAAATTCCTCAACCAAGTGTAGTTTCTTGGAATTCTTTGATATGTGGGTATGTGCATTCCGGGCTGTTTCGTAAGGCTTTGGGTTTGTTTCTTCAGCTTGACAAGTCTGATGTTTACGCAGACTCATTCTCGTTTACTGCTGCTTTAGCTGCTTGTGGCCAACTAAGTTTATTGCAATTAGGCCAGTCAATTCACTCCAAGATTGTAAAATCTGGTGTGGAATGCGGCATTGTTGTCGCGAATTGCTTGATTGACATGTATGGAAAATGTGGCTCTGTTGAAGAGGCGACTCTGGTTTTCAGTGAGATGAGTGATAAGGACATTATTTCTTGGAATTCGGTTATAGCTGCGAGTGCTAGAAACCGAAGACTTGAACAAGCAGCCAACTTTCTGCATCAGATGCCAAATCCTGATACAATTTCATATAATGAACTGATCAATGGTATTGCGCAGTTTGGCAACATAGAAGATGCTATTCAGGTTTTGGTGAATATGCCAAATTCTAATTCGTCTTCATGGAATTCGATAATAACAGGATATGTAAACCGGGAACAAGCAAGAGCAGCTCTGGAATTCTTCAGTAAAATGCATTCAAAAGATATTGTAATGGATCAGTTCACGTTTTCAAGCCTTCTGAGTGGCATTGCAGGTGTTTCAGCTCTGACATGGGGTATGTTGATCCACTGTCGCACAATTAAGTCTGGTTTAGACGAATCTATAGTCGTTGGGAGCGCTCTAATTGACATGTACTCGAAATGTGGACAGGTAAAGAATGCTGAATTGCTGTTCCAGTCACTACCCAAAAAGAATTTGATTACTTGGAATGCAATGATATCCGGCTATGCTCACAATGCCAAATCAGCCAAGGTAATCGAGCTTTTTGAGCAGTTGAAAATATTGAGAGATTTGAAACCTGACGAAATCACCTTTCTTAATGTTTTATCTGCTTGCTGGCATAACCGAATGCCATTGGAGATTGCAATTCGGTATTTTGAATCAATGATGAAGGACTATGGGATCAATCCCACAGCTGAACACTGTTCTTCTGTTATTAGGCTTATGGGACAAAAGGGGGAGGTATGGAGGGCAGAGAAGATGATAAATGAACTAGGGTTTGGGTCATGTGTGTTAGTTTGGAAAGCTTTACTTGGTGCTTGTGGAACTTGTGGGAATTTGGATGTTGCAGAGGTTGCAGCTGCTAAGGTGATTGAACTGGATGGTGATAATGAGTATGTGTACGTGATGATGTCCAACATTTACGCATGTTATGGGAAATGGGGAGATGTGAGTGCAGTTAGGGAACTGATGAGGGAGAGAAAGGTGAGGAAAGAAGCTGGTTGCAGCTGGATTGAGGTAGAAAATCTGATGACGGACCCAACCACAGTGTGTTTATGATGAACACGATGATGTAGGGCAGCATAGGCAGATATTTCCGTTGTATTGGGGTCAATTCCAATAACATGGACCATGGTAGTTTGAGGAGGACCTATGTTTCTGATCTGTTTCATCTTTGCTTTGGGGCTTCTGTACCAAATCAAACTCCCCGAGGGAAAATGGAACAGTTGCAACTCAAATTTCTGATAGAAGGATGGTTTTCTTTGTTCCGTCCTACAAATGATATGGGTCAGCCATGATCGAAGATTGGAGACTGACATAAGCTCAGGCCTTATGGAACAGAGTTTCGATATCTTCCCCAAACCTACCATTATGAAATTGTTAATTATACACAGCTGAGTTTTGTATGGTTGAAAAACTGTGGTGCCATGAAATTTATTCACCAAAAACACATTAGAACAAGCTTCATGAAGCGGTAAAGACATTTTTTGTGTCAAAGATGCACAACTTTATGTTCTGCAATAGTTTCACTATTTTCCGGCAAGCCTGGCATCAAAAGATAGCCTTTTTTCTGTTATGTGTTCTAGGAACTTAGGACTTCATAAACTGTAACTCGAACGTTATAGGTAGAGGGGAAGGCCAATGGTGAATTGTAATACCTTGTTTTTCAAAGTTTGTATCCATTTATAATACAATAAAGGATCACTGGAATACTCAAATTTTGAAGAAACTTATTTCAAATCAACTCCAGAGTAGTTGGCAGTCATCAATAAAAGATTAGAGTTTTATTTGCCCATGCCAATGCCCCAGGGATCACCTCACATAAATCAATCACTTGATTTGAAGAAAATGCAGACAAACATGCTTGCAGTTTAGACCAAAGGCCAAGTGCAACACACATTTTAGGATCAGCTGGTTCTTCACACCGCCATATCTTTCTCTAGTTGTTTCCAGAATGGTGTATCGAACACAAGTCCCCCAGAAGTTCTAACAGAACTTGGTGGCATTTGCGAAGTTCAGACTAGTGTTCCCTAAACCACTCAAAAGCAACCAAGCTAGAACTGTAACAAGGTGGAATGATCCAACTACTATCAAACCAAGGACAGGTTTAGAACTGCTCGATCTTCAAAGATAAGAAGGCCACTTCAGAGAGTACAAGGACAGGCATTCATGATTTCTTTCAATTGTTTATTTTGTGGTAGGAATCAGTGCAAGATTTCAGAGAAAAATGTAGACTCCATAACCCACAACAAATCGAACACACAAAAATAAACAAGGCCCTTTCCTTATATTTGTTGCTCACAAAACACATTTATTACACTTGAAGAATCAAAAATAGTTTTACTGCTATGTAATGTTTGAGCAGCTTTTAATAAAATGACATAATTTTGCAGAAATGAATAGCAAAACCTTCCTTTTACAATAACCTGAAGATGATAACTTTTTTCTCTTTGTGATGATCTGCAAAGTCACCTTGGAACTGACAAACCGAGCTCTAATTCAACAAACAACAAAAGGAACTCATATCAGAAACCAATACAAATAAAAAACACCCTGACATATGAAGATTAAAGTAATCTCATTAAAATGGCTTACAATGTAATTATTATCATTAACAACTAATGCAGAAAAAAAATAATGAAGCTAAACCTAAACCCCATTGCATTACCATTTAATTTAGCTTTCAGTAAACTGAACAAAAGATCAAATATATGTTCAGTTAATGATGCATCATGACCCGTGATTTGAGTAGTGTGAAAATCCTTCCAAGACATTTAGGAGCATACTTGATGAGGCCCACCTCCAGAAACAGCAAAATGTCTCACTTCCCATCAATATCATCTGGGAGAAGGGGCACTCTTGTTACCACAGCATTCTTGTTTAACAATAGACTATTATTCAATGCAATACATTTATACTAAAATGATACTTGATATATCTGGTCTCGTTTTTTTTTTCTTTCTAGATCTTGACATTTTCTATGTGGATAATAATGTCTTGTCGGCACGTAGGATTTTAAAAGGAATATCAATATCATATAGGTGAGGCAAGCAAGTAAACTGAACAAGACTCTGTAACAAAATCAACTAAAGCTTTACAAAGAGGTAATTTATTGAATTCTTCACATGGAAAGCTGTCAAAGAGCCACTCTGCTTACATGCCTATATATAGTGTACTTTAAAGACTTGGATATATAATAGAAGATCTTTCAGAATAGATATCTTAACAAATAGAGCATTTGGATTAAAGGTTGGAAGGAAAAGAAAGAGAGGAGGTGTTATCAATTTCTTTCTTCTCCCTCTTACGCTAGTTGCCAGCTACTTACACAACCCTTCTCCTTTTTCCGGACTACAAACTGGTGTGCAATGAAACAATAAACCAAATAGTCTGAGTTATATGCATTCAACATCATAAGATTCCATTGCGTCAAACGGCATAAATGCGAAGGAGAAATCAAATGGACTGATCATTGGATTCATCCACTGAATTGAAAATCACACACCAACAATTGTCTCTCATACTGAAAAGTTAAATCAATTGGTAAATATGAGCTCAAATACAAAGTTTATATTTTGATTATGGACACTTATATGATGTTCTCCAATTTTTTATCATGATATTTCCACATATTAAATGTCTAAATATTATATTTTAGAAGTTCTATCGACCAATAATGTGCATGGATTGAACTTTTTTCTTGTTTTGACTGTCAAAACTTACAGTTTCTTTCTCATTATATCTAATTTAAGTAAAATCATTATTTTAATCTGTGAATTTTTAGTTCATTTTGATTCTCTAATTATTTCATCAAATTCTTCATAAAATGATATGTACATCACAGTAGACAATACTACCCTATTGAAAACCATGATTCTAATTTTATTTTATTTTATTGTTGGTAAGTGAGCTATATTATAGACAAAAAGAAACTAGATACAAGGATTAAAGGGGCATACCCCCCTATGCACTGCAAACCTATCAAGAAGGGAACCTAAAGAACCACCAGAAATTATCAAACAGAATGAATTGGGGAAAGAAAAAAAAACTGTGCTACAAATATAGATCAGTAGAAACCAACAGATCAATAAAAAAAACTGTGCTTGGGAGGTTTCACACTAAAGAGAAAACTATTTCCTATAAACAATGAGAGCTAAAACATTTAAATCCACATGAGTTTAAATACGAAATAGAAAATATATCTAACAAAACCCATATTATACCTCTTAATCTAGGAAAATTATATGCAACTTACTAAATGGGGTTCATTGTTTAACCAATATAGTCTACCCAATACTATAATCTCAATGAAATGACAATGTGAAAATTCAAAATCCATAACCACATGTATATATATATATATATGCAGTGAGACTCACACTCTAATAACAAAAAGCAGGTTAGGGGCCAGGAAAGGTACGGCAGAGTGTACCCTGTGAAATAGCTCTGCAACTCCTTGAGCTCAGGCCCGACGTCATCCTTGCAGTAGCAACCGCACTGTGAAGAGGCAACAGAGATTGTGCACCTCCAAGCTCCATCGGAACTCTGTTATTAATAATTTAAAAAAAAAAAAATCAATAACTCTTGCCAAATCAATAGACTACAAAAGATAGAGAAGCTTCTGATTTTTCTATTCAGTGAACACCGCATATTACATGATTAAATTCATCAAACACAATAATTAAAACGGAGCAAAGAAAAATACAAAATTAAATTGAAATCTGGATTAGGGAGAGAGTGAACAAGTCTATAAATACCAAAAAAAAAAAATCGAAATATAATTTGTGCGTGAATGTGTGTATATACAGAGAGAGAAATACCTGGACAAGAAGAAGCGGCGGACAGGTGAGGTAGTGGATCTCCTTAAAGACGGCGAAGGAGAGGAAGCTGAAGCAGTTTGAAGATTAGATTTAATGGTGGATCTGAGAGACGACACTGACGTTCTGTTGATAATTCTGTTGCATTTTGAAGCCATCGTAGCAACCAAAAAGGGCTGAAACTGAAAGTAAGCTTCAAGGAAGAAGAAAATTATAGAGAAGGGGTTTCATTTTCGGTAACTTCGCAATTGGGCTTTTTGAAGGGCCGAAAATGAATTCAGAGTACAGTCGGGTGTTTAGTTAGTTACTTGGGTTCACTACTCGTGAGATATCTTCTTTCTTTTTTTTTAATATTTTTTTTATCACTATGTGTGTATATATAATGTCTGCATTTACAAATTTAGATGTATCAAGCCTTCCAAATTTGGCATCAAACTCTTTTATGTTAATGAACAAATATGACCAAAGAAAAATCCAAGCAGTTGTGCCCATTTTTTAACCCAAAAAAAAAAAATTCTGTTTGCCAGTCAAAGCCAAACTGCCATCAAATTTTCAAACAAACTCTTTTTGATTGATTGTGAGCTTGAATTTTTAACCTCTTTGATTTATGATTTATTAATTTTTTACTAAGAATGATACTAATATTTAGGCCTATTTATCTATTCGAATAAACTAATCGATGGATTTTTATTCACTTTTTTATATGAATAAATAGTTTTATTTCTACTTGTTTAAGTGGATAAGCCAAGTATTAGTCATATCCACTAATCACTATATCATACGCTAGAGAAATATTTTCTCTACTTTTAAAAGTGAGTTTAACACTTAAGTTCCAAACTCCAAAGTGGTGGGTTTTTTTTATCAGTGCCGAAAAGGAAAATAAAAATAAAAATAAAAAATCGCTTATGTCATTCTCTGGTAATATGCAAGTCTAATCAATTATCCATGAAAAAGGACCAATTTGTATGAAGGTTTTTGGATCAGTTACCTTTATGGATGGGCCTTTCTTCAGAATGTAACACAATAATAAGTAGGCTTGGGCCAAATTTAGCCTCAATGCCTCATTCAACCTCAACTTTTGTGACTTTGATGGACTTTTCTTCTACTGTCCATATGTGTTTCACATATGTGTGTATAAGGGTTAGGGTTCCGATATATATATATATATATATATATATATACACATACACACATAAGCTTGATTCTATGTGACAATATTATATGGTAACAAATGAAAATATATATATACGTAAGTTAAGAATTATGAACCAAATTAGTCCTAATGTTCAATCTTTTTAAATCTAAATTTCATAACCAAATTAGTTCCAATGTTCTTGGAATTAGAATTGAACCATTAACTGTCAAAATCAAGTTTTTTTTTTGTTTGAAAGGTTACTGTCAAAATCAAATTAGATTAGTTCGGATGGGATTAAGAATCCCATTTTATTTATTTTTTTCAAAAACAAAGCAAACACATACACATATTTTGCGAGCACCAGAGCTCGAACAGAGTCCATTGGAAGTTGGGATTTATTAAAATAGAAGAAAACTTTTTTTCTTTTTTGAAAATAGATGTCAATAGAGTCTTTCTTGAGTGGACCATTCTTTCTGGGCCTGACTCCAATTTAAATTTTGCAGCTGTGCCTCAAAAGTCGGATGGGAGTGGGTTTTAGACTCTGCCTACATAGCCTAGCCCATGTACTTCCATGCAGTACAATCACAAAAATGAAATTTAGATAATTTATAATTTATAAATTATTTTAAAAATATTGCTAATAATTCAGAAATAATTAAGAAAGCAATATGTGTCAGAAAGAAAGAAAAAAAGAGCTTTGCTCATAATCATTCTTCCAAAACAATTCTTCAATTATTGAAATATTAAGGATACATTTGAGATTTTGCTAACAATAGAGGAGAATTTTAACACTTTTTTCTTCAGGAATTATTAGGTATTTCGAAGGTATCACGTAATAATCACGTTGACTTAATATTTCATCAAATCATATAATATTAATTGAAAATTATTAGCAACTCTTTGTATTAATAACCCTACTTAATACTCTTCACTATCAAAATATAATTGACATTTAGTTTGTTCAATGGACTTTGTTGTCTGCTAGACATGAGTAGTGTGTGATAAAGAACCACCAGACACAAAAAAGTTAATGGTCTAAAGTCTAAACTCATAATTATTTGAAAACACTACACCCCATACTTTTCAAATCACAAGTATTTTCAACATAATATTGCTACATAACATCATGACAACATGTCAACATTGCTGCTTCTAAAGGCTATGACCGATTGAGAATATGTATGGTTTTGAAAAAAAAAATTAAAGCCCATATTTACATGTAAAGATCTGATTTTGACAAACCTTAAAATGACAACATGTCAACATTGCTGCTTCTAAAGGCTATGACCGATTGAGAATAAGTATGGTTTTTTAAAAAAAAATTAAAGCCCATGTTTACATGTAAAGATCTGATTTTGACAAACCTTAAAGTGACATAAATGCAACTTGGGTTGGGTAACCCGAACCCAATCCAAGCCCAGCCCGATTATTTACGAGTTTGGACAATCATTTTTATAATTAGAGTTGAGTTGGGGTTGAAAAATCTCAACCCGAAATAAATTAGAATTGAGCCTGAGTTGAATTGCTAGCAACCCGAGCCAACCCGAACTCAAATTCTAATATTATTTTCATATATATATTTATTTTAAATACATTATGTATAATATTTAAATTATGATTATTTTTTTTCTTTTCAACTTCTTTTATTAAATCTTAACTTAATGTATGTTAATATTAAAGATAATTAATTTTCTAAAAACTTGTTTATAATTTATTAAAAATTTACAAAAAGTTTTTAAACTTTTTACTATTTATGAGTAATTTAATCTAAATTAATTCAAGATCATATTAAAATTTAGGTATAAAGATTAGCTACATGAGTAACACAAATTAATCCAAAAATTTTACCCAAAATATAAGTCCGAATTGCAAACCCAAATTTAAAAGCAAATGATGGGTTGGACTTAAATTGAGTAGTTAAAATTGAGGATAGAGTTAGAATTGAACTTGAGTTTAACATTTCAGATGAGTTAGATTCAAATTATACCTCAAATCCGTTCAACCTGCCCGAGTTGCATCTTTACATAAAGGAGAACTAAAAAGCCCACCATAGTTGTTGCTTTTCATTAATTATAAGTAAGTGGGCATATTAAAATGTGAATATGAGTAAACTCTTCATCAATGCGTTGCCATCCACAAGTTTGGTAGCTACAAGTTGAGTATGAGGTGTTTGACATTGTGGTTTGAGTCGGCTATTAAATTTCAACCCATTGGACAGATGTGTTGCTTATTAAGCAACCAATTTTTAGTGTCACCAGCTGTTTGACATTTCTGCCATCTTAATGCTTACATTTTACAGATCTTTTACGCATTGAGTCTCACGTGTCTTATAAAAAATAAAATAAAATAAAATGAAAAATATTACTATTACTATTACTTTGCTCGAATTCGAATTGAAAATGAAATGAGAATAAATGAATGAATATATAGAACTAAGTTATTGGATAAATAAACAAGCGTCTACGAGTTACAATTAATATCTGAGCCAGATCCAATCTTTAATTAGGTGTCACGGCACCTTATAAATTATCATTATAAAAATAATAATTGGGCCCAAAATATATAAATTATTGATTTTTCTTCATAATTTTGAATCATAAAACAAATTAAATTTTATTATAAATAAAGTTCTACAAAAGTTAAAGAAAATTTAAGGGTATATCTGTTAATCATTTTTATTTTATATTTAAATCGGGGTACAGTGAAATACATAAATAAATGGCAAAAGCACGTTTGGTAATATCTATTACGTTTTGCACAATATTATATTTGTATTTTAAAAAGGTCTAGATTGGGAAGCAAAAGAGTCCCTTTTAGACTTTTGTTTTGCCATTGTAGTAGGAATTTTTTTAAAAACCAACACGAAATAAATAATTGTTTTCTTACAATCTTTCAAAAAAAATAAAAATTTAATATAAGTTACAAAAACATATTAATGTTTTATAAAAAAATTACAGTACAACAAAACACTACTTTCGTTTCATATAAACGAAAAAAAATAGAAAATAAAAATGGTTGTCAAATGACTCATTATATATATATATATATATATATATATATATATATATATATATATATTCTCCGTTTCAATAAGGCCAAACACCCCTTAACAAGTCAAGAAAGTGACTCTCTCTCCCTTGAACTGTCGTTGCTCTTGCGGCGAGAAGAAAAGTATCAAATCTTGATTGAATTGTATATTCTTCTTCGGTGAGAGCCGCTCTTAGTGTTGTTTGATGGATACTCTGTTTGGTGGTTTTTGTCTTGTTTGTGATGCCAAGAAAAGAAAAAGTAAAAAATTTAAAAATAAAAATAATAAATAAATAAAAGAAAGACTGAATTTGATCTCACAATGAAATATCTCTTCAACCGTGTCCACCATGTGGAGTGTCAGTGTTAGTTCCAGTAAAACAAAGACCTCCACTATATAAGAATGGTGTTGAACTTTTATTAAACAATTCATATAAATATGATTCATATGGTCCCATCAATACTAAAAATTGTTCTATTGAACTGTTTATTAACACCTTTATATTTTTATTATTATTATTATTTTTTAACAAGCCAAACATTAACACCTTCTTTGAACCATAGATTTTTCAACAGCACATCATTCTTATAAATATTGTTCTACCACGGGAATTGAATAATGAGGTATTATATAAGACGCTTTAGAATATGTGTCTGTCATTTTTACTTAAATATGTAATATCTGAAATACATATTTAATAATTTAATTTTACTATATTATTACTTTAAAACAAATAAAATGTCCACATTTAGCACCACGTCACGTAAACATGTTATTTAACTTATTTTATTTTATAAAATAAAAGCATTAAATAATATGTCCACACCCTACACATGTGCGTCCATGCAACATGAAATAAAATTATAAATTTATAATCATTAACGTACAAATGGAGAGGCCACATCAATGTTTCATTCTTATCCTAATGGCAAAAGAATAAGAATATTTATCACTAAATAATTGATTTAAAAAAAAAAAAAAAAAAGGTCATTATCATCCATGTGGGTCCATGATTTACTCTCAAGTAATATGCCCTTTTTGAGAACATGGTTTGCTTCTTTTAATAAAGGAGGTATCAATTTCAAATAGATTATGTTAGCGACAATTCCTCCAACCAACGGGTGGAAATAACTTTTAGACCACCTCTCTATTAATGACATGGTCTATAACAATCTCATTAATA